TCTTGCTGATCTAAAAGAGAGGTATAATTTTGACTCATTCACATCAGATGGCTATCATTGTGTTGGCTGTTGTCATATTTTAGTTTGATAATCTAAGGGAAAAACGGTCAGTGCCCCTGACTAAATAGTTAGATATTGGATGTTTTAAAAATTCTTACAGCACGATGGTTGGATATCACTGTATTACTAGCTTGAGGTTGGTGACCATTGGTATGTAATGGGTCTCAGTACTCACGTCGCTCTGGATTTCATAGGCCTGCCGAGCGTGGATGACGTCATTCTGGTCGGGCAGGCACGTCCACTGGTGCAGGTAGTTCTTGTAGTCCACGTCACTGACCAAGGTCTGGCACTTCTTGGCCAGCACCACCCCCAGCATGTCCACGGGGCTGCTGTACCTGGTCTTCGACTTCTCAAAGTCCTTCTTGTACTCCCTGTCACTCTGGATCTTGGCCACATGCATGGACCACATCATTTTGGGGTCGTCCTTAATGTTCCGGGCTCCAATGTGGTGGCCAAGCTGCTTGCGGTAACCATCTTTGTATTTGTACTGAAATAAAAGCAGTGATTTTAAAAATAAAATAAATAGAAAGGTCTAAAAGTTTTATTAATTTAAAAGTTTATTATTTCAAAATTGGTAATTCTTTCAGAGAAATGGAATCATCTGAATATCAACTTATCTCCTCATCCTAAATTCTGATTCGACTTCACAATACTTTAATACAGCGGTTCTCAACCTGTGGGTCGCGACCCCTTTGGCGGTCGAACGGCTGGCCCTTTCACAGGGGTCGCCTAAGACCATCCTGCATATCAGATATTTACATTACGCTTTATAACAGTAGCAACATTACAGTTATGAAGTAGCAACGAAAATAATTTTATGGTTGGGTCACAACATGAGGAATTGTATTTAAAGGGCCAGAAGGTTGAGAACCACTGCTAATGGGAAGCTATGCCAAACTATGTAGTTTTACGGTTTGCAGACATAAAGTCCCTAAAACAAAAGCAGCAACACTTTTAAGAAAAATCAGTTGGAATTATGTGCTGTCTTTTCTTCATCTTGGGCCAGTGAAACCAGAAATCTTACACATGATTTTGAGAATGCTACTCCTGAGTGCACAGATATGATTTCACCCTCCAAAGCACCCGTTACCCCTCCCAAACACAGCTCTGCTGACTTTTATTTGACTCCGTGAAATGGACTGGCTTGGATTTTCCATCTAGTGTGTCCGGCTCTGTCAGACATCAAATTTGGCTAAGACTTGTTGGTTGGGATTCCTCAAGTAAAAATCAGATTCTATAACTACAAGAAAGCTTATTGTTGGAGGTGGTGGGAAATGCTGACTGGATATTTTCTCTCCACTTCAGGTAACAACATGACACAAATCCTAATGTATATTATGGAAGTCTGAGTTCTCCACCAAAGGACCCACTTCCTTCAGGGACAGCCAAAAGAGAAATCGGGCTCTCCCTTTTGTTGGTTTTTGGTTGTTTGCCTTTGCTTTTCTGTTTTTGGTTAAAAGGAACTCAAAGGAGGCACTTAAGATAATTTTTCAGAGGAAGAGTTGACAAAAACACAGAGCAGGTTGGGGGAAAGGTGTATTTCCCTAGACCTAGCTGTAACCAGGCCTTTTTCTGATGTTGAACCAATACATGTAACCACGTTACTTTTTAAAACTTTTCTGGCATTTTCTTATTTCTCTGTGGGTTCTGTGCTCAAAATATGGAGATAAATGCCTCATAATTGTAGATACGAGCAATTGTATATTCAAATTTAATTTTATACTAAAGTTTAGGATACCTTTCACTATGGGGTCTGAATATTAAAGTCTTTTGGAGTTAAAAATATAAAAGAGCTTTTTCTAATGAAAAACATTTCTTTCATTCAAATCACAATACATGTACTTAATTGGCACCCAGATGCAGGGCCCTGTTGGAATGATGACCGTGATGACCCTGTCCCATCCAGCCATGTACACGGAGTGTTGTTACTCACATCGCTGACGATGTCTCTGGAGGCCTTGGCCGCCACAATCGGGATGGCATCGCTTCGCAAGTCGTAGCCTTTCTTCTTTGCTTCTTCATTGGCAAGTTTATACAGAGTCTACAGAAGGAAAGTCAAGGTTAAAGCAAGAGTCTTGAGAGCAACCATTTGGAGATTTTCAAGTGACATACCATTTCATTTTAAAAAGGATAGGTTTTGGAAATAATTTAAAATTCTAGTAATACTGAAAGTAAACAAATCATATCTTACCAAAAAAACTAAATAGCATTAGAAACAAATGAGATATATCAATGGGTAAAAACATAGAGTGATATATTAATCTATTATTAATCTACTATGATACCTAATAGATTAATATATAATACTAGAGGCCCGGCACACAAAATTCATGCATGGGTAGGGTCCCTAGGACTGGCTGGCAATCAGGGCTGATCTGGGGGGCAACCAGCAGGGTGATAGGGAGGGGGGCGGGCCCTGCTGGCACCTGCCTTGGCTGGCCTGGTGCCGCCTGCTTGCCAGCCCCGCCCCCCACAGCTGCCACAGGTTGCCTCCCTCTTCGCGGTGACCAGCGGGGCAATTGGGGGGACCTCTGCTTGTGCCCGCCTTGGCTGGCCTAGGGCCTTTGGCCTGAGGGCAGCTCCTGCATTGAGCGTCTTCCCCCTGGTGGTCAGGGCATGTCATAGCGACCAGTCATTCCACAGGTCATTCTACCGTTCAGTTGACTTGCATATTATGCTTTTATTATATAGGATATAGATTTATAAGATATATTATGCATATCAACAGGTTAATATAATCTAGAAATATAGATTGATGGATAAACATCAATCTATACATATTTCAAAATGAAAAAGAAATTGCAGAATATATTTAATTTTTTGTTTATTATATATATACTTATATACTTTTACTCATTTCTTTATTATTTAAAATTTTTTGACAATCGTAATATCTTATCATTTTTAGGAAAAAATGAGAAAAAATTGAAATATAATTTAAAAAGTAGATAACTTGACCACCATCACAACTTTGATTCTAAATCTTAGCTGTGTCATGTTAGTAGCACATGCATTTATGACATTGCATTTTACTTAAAAAAACACACACAGTAATCAGTGTTGTTAATGGAGAACACTGCTTTTCGTGCCTGAGGCTTTCTTTCTAAAAAAGGAGCTCAATTATTTTATCTCTGCCCTTACTCCTTTTCCGGGTGCCTTTACTCTCTGCCCTGGAGAGGTGTAGTGATTTACTGATTTATCTGACTAGGGCTGGGATAACTGGGTACCCCAGCTCAGCCCTAAACTGTTTCTTCTAGGCCAGGGGTGGGCAAACTTTTTGACTCGAGGGCCACAATGGGTTCTTAAACTGGACCGGAGGGCCGGAACAAAAGCATGGATGGAGTGTTTGTGTGAACTAATATAAATTCAAAGTAAACATCATTACATAAAAGGGTATGGTCTTTTTTTTCAATAGTTTTATTCATTTCAAATGGGTCAGATCCGGCCCGTGGGCCGTAGTTTGCCCACGGCTGTTTTAGGCACAAGCTCAGTGCCCTCCTCCGTGCCCCCGGGCTCTAAGTGGGACCACACCCTGAATGGGGTGGAGCTGATTGTCCTGCTACAGGGTGGCTTGCGCCTGAATGAGGAACCCAATTCCTTGGTTCAGTGAGCAGACTGCCTCTCCTACAAATGTGTTCTTGAGCCTAACTTTAGTAGTAACAAAGGTGAGATTTTAGTTTCATTTTTACTCTTCAGTTTTCCTTCTCAATTTTACTGAGGATCCAGGTGGGGAAGAGGTGCATATTAGCAGAGCCCCCTTAACACATTGCCAGATTTAGCAAATAAAAAGATAACATGACCAGTTGAACTTGAATTTCAGATAAGCAACAAATAATATTTTAGAATAAATATTGAGCCAGTGTTTTATCTGGCTATCCTACCTCTAGCAATCCCAAACATACTACTCAGTTCCACTAGCTCACACTAGCAGTGGCCCATACGCTGAAAAGGTAATGTGACTTCAGTTTGCCTGTGGAGTCCTATAGCAACCCAGATCTGAAAGGTCGGATGGGCTGAGTGTTCATATCACAGAGCCGCATGTACCATAATAGCTGAGCACCTCCATAAAAGTAAGTGCAGAAAAACCAACGAGAGCAGCAGCAACAAAATAAGTGTAGCACCACGGAACTTTGCTCCTACCTCACTGTAGTTGAGTTGGTTCTGCTTTGCCAACATGATCTCCGGGGTGTCAGGCATGACATGAATTTGAGTCTTGTCTTTGTCCCAGGCCTCTGTATATAAACGCTATCAAAGAAGATATTGATGGAAAACCATTTGAAACAAGAATTACAAATTGTCAACTTACAACAGGATTATTACTGATCTAATTGAGGAAAATAAACTGGACTCGAATATAAGATATTCAATTGGAGGTTTGAGTCTTAATGCTGGTTATCAAGGTTTAAAATAGAATAATAGAAATCATGTAGAGGCTTTTAAGTATGCAATCTAGGAGGTAAAGGTGACCCCACACTTTCATGGGTAATATGACTCCCCTAGTCATTAAAGTATAATAACATCGTTTGCATCCTGAAGAAGCTTGGCAGCTGGGGCTCACCTTGTTCATGGTGATGGCGTTGTTCTTTGCCAGCACCTGCTCCAGGGAGTCAGTCACGCTGGTGAATTTCTGCTTGTCTGGAGGCTGGCGGTAGATGTTGTCACTCAGTATCTCTGCAGCTCTCTTGCACTTGACCACATCCAGAGACCCGATGGGGACCCAGCCAATGCCTCTCATCCACTGGAGATCAGACTTGTATACATTCTGGGAAGAGGAAAAGAGGCAGAAATTCTTCACTAAGACCAAAGGACTTATGGTAAAGATGCAAATGGATTCAGTAATAAAGTACCATTCTGGTTGTTACTGTTTTTCACAGAAAACAAGCTCACTGCATTAGGCAGACGAAAAGAGGAACTATGTTCAAAAATGACCCCCCAAAATGTCTCCTATCCATAAGAAAAGTGGTCAACTATTTCAGGTTTTTAGGAGAGAAGTGATCCAAAATAATAACTTCTGTTAGTCAATTCCATGAATGCTATTGTAATGTTCATGTGCACAGGAAAAGAGTGCCAACCAGAGTAAATAAATATTAGTCCTTGTCAAATCAAATAGTCTGCACCTACTAAAAGCCATATTTGAAGAATATTATGACTTGTTGAAATGTCAGTAATACAATATTAAGTGAAATAATTATGTAAATATATTGTCTGGATAAATTCAAAAGCAGGAGTGGGCTTTTTCAATGGTTGGACTATGCTGGATTATTATTGCCTTCTGTGTATTTTTTCTCATATTTCAAAATATCTGTAATGCTCTTTTAAAAAAAGAGAGAGAAGTTAAAATATAATAATAATTTAGAATCCCTGAAGCAGAAGTTGGACAGTTGTCACACTATCCAAGACTCAGGGCAATAAGGGACCATTTCATTGGCCCAGGGCCCAGTCTATTCCCTACCAATCTCTCAGGAAGGGAAGCATTAATTTCTTTCCAGAATCATCTTTTCATATTTTTATTTCTCTCTTTACTTTAAATCATTTTTCCCTGCTAAAGATTTTTGTAAAGAGAAACGGACTCATAGATACGGAGAACAGACCAGTGGTTGCCACAGGGGAGGGAAGGTTGGGGACTGTGTGAAGAAGGTGAAGAGATTGAGAAGTACAGATTGGTAGCTACAAAATAGTCACAGGGATGTATACTACAACGTAGGGAATATATGCAATAATATTATAATAACTATGTACGGTGCCAGGTGGGTACTGGAAATATCGGGGAAAGATTATAAAGTATATGATTGCTTAACCACTAGGTTGTACACCAGAAAGCAATACAAAATAATATTAATGTAAACTGTAATTGAAAAAAATATTTATTTAAAAAATTGTGTGTACCCATTACATATTCATAACTATATCACAACGAAAGGATTGGACCTTTGCCCAACTCACTAGAAGGATTTTACCTGTAACAACAATAAAGTAGAAAAATAGACTGATCCTCTGTAGTCTAGACAAGAAGCCTTTTGGAATTGTCCTGTGCTGACTAGTTATTGTCCCCTAAATAACAACAGGAGGAATGAAAACAATAATATTTATACCTCTGGAGGGCCTTTTAATGTTCAAATGCTTTCACATTATTAAGACTGTGTCACAGTGTGAGGGAGGCAATCTTGAAAAGGGGCTCAACAAATGGAAGAATGCAAGCTGTCTGTCACTGTTGCCACTCCATGGAGGGCATGAGCCATTTTAACTGCCTTTCATGTGCAGGAAAAACCTTTCCTTTTGGAAAGAATTTCAAAACACAAGGTTCTATATGTCGGAAACTACACAACAGATGTGAGAGTTTTCACAGGTGGACTATACCATTTCTAGGAACAGCCCATTAATGTATAATTATTATTAATTTGTTTTATTCTACGAAGTCCTCTAATGTTTAATGATTCCTTCAAACGTTTATAAAATAGGTGCTGCAGGAAATGTGCTTCTCACACCTGGTTTGAGATGCTGCACCTGCTTCTCATAGGTCCAGCTTCTGTCACTACCATGTGACCCCTCCACAAAGAGCTGGCCCAGGAGGAGAAAGTGTCACTGAAATGATCCGATAGCTTCCAGGCTCAGTGACTTCTTTTTTAAAATTTCATTTCACAAGAATAACATTTAGTGGCATAGAAGGCATTAGTATTCCATCAATTATAACACCATTTGTTTTGTAAGGAGAGCTAAAAAAACAATTTCAGAGTAATTTAAAAAAAAAAGTGTTCTTGCCTCCTTAAAAGAATAAAAGAAAACGTCTCCTTCTGGTGGACCCTGAATTCTAACATTGCTTAACTCTGGTTTTACTTTTAGAAGATCAAATCCAGCTTATAAACTTCACTTCCTTATAAATCCTATTAACATATTCACAATAAAGCCATAAAACTACACTGATTCAGATATCAAATATCACTCAATAAATCCTAGTTTGAATAAGCCATCGATTGTATACAAAGAATAATTTTTGTGTCGTTTATTTCTGCACACAGCTCTGTTATAGATGGTGTACTCACGTCGCTCTGGATTTCATAGGCCTGCCGAGCGTGGATGACGTCGTTCTGGTCGGGCAGGCACGTCCACTGGTGCAGGTAGTTCTTGTAGTCCACGTCACTGACCAAGATCTGGCACTTCTTAGCCAGGACCACCCCCAGCATGTCCACGGGGCTGCTGTACCTGGTCTTCGACTTCTCAAAGTCCTTCTTGTACTCCCTGTCACTCTGGATCTTGGCCACATGCATGGACCACATCATCTTGGGGTCGTCCTTAATGTTCCGGGCTCCAATGTGGTGGCCAAGCTGCTTGCGGTAACCATCTTTGTATTTGTACTGAGATGGAAATGGACAAATCCAGTTTTTATTGTAAACCCTTAGAGACCCCAAGACTACAAAATCATCTTGCTTATATTTCACTTATAAGTTGACTTTTGCTAATAAACACTAACTCAAGCCAGTATCCTGACCTTTACCCTAGAAGTTCAATAGAGGCAGTTCAATAGATGTAATCAGTATAATTGCAGTGTATGCCCTAAATCACTTATAGCCTGGTAATAAGAAATAGTTCTGAAGGCAAGACATGCACACAGTAGGGAGAGGTTACCTATGGAAGTGGGGGAGAGGCATTTGAACCTTGGAGAAATGGATTTTATGTGCTAGCAGCATGTTAGGAAAGAGATGCACTTGGTGACATGGCATGTTTAATGAGTAATGACAGGACTGTCTGGTTCCTGCAAGGGTAGTACTCTAGGTCAAGGGCTATCTGCAGTAGCAACTAGGAGAATTTATTATTTCATTATCGATCCATGCATTCTTTGGTGGTGGCAAATGTGTGGCATCACTTGGAAAACTGATTATTCTAGTAAAGTTGTAGCCGGCCAACTGGGTAGAGTGTGCTCCTAACATGGGCCAAAAATGTTTTTATTATTCTATGTTCAATGGTTTTACCCTGAAATCTGAGCCCATTACCTACAATATATGCTTCTAGTCTTAAATAAAGCTGAGAAGGTATAGATGAGTCAGCAGGAGGCATATGGTACAGTGGAAAGGAATGAGGTTGTCTGGAGTTTCAACTCCGTCATCCACTAAGAGTTTAACTTTAGACAAGTTGCTTAAGCAATCCACAAAATGGGGGTAATGACAACAGGGTTTATCATCCTAGGGTAATTATGAATAGTAAGTAAAATAATAAATGAAAAGCTCTTAGCAGAGTTATCAACACTTTGGGTTGTTATTATGATTTCATTAATTATTATTATTGGTATAAATCCATTTTTAGGGGAAGTCCAAGATACACCAATTAAAGTGAGTCACTCACATGGTTTTCCAACAGAAAGGACCATGTGTTACCATATCCCTGAATCTTGGGCCTGTATTTTTAGAGCAGTGTCCTGTTCCTCAAGAATTCCCTGAGGCACCAGGAAAGGATGCTGGTTTTATTCTGAGAGGTTTGAGCTACAGAACCAGGAGCTATTGGTAAGGGTATGATCTTGAGCTAGTAACCTCTGCTGGTTCTGATCAACTGCCTTCTATTCATAATCCTATAAGAGTGAGTGGTAAGGCAAGCATCACATGAACTTTAGAAATATTGTATGTTAAGATGATACATAAAGCCAAACCCAGTTCTCACTGAGAGAACTTACATTTTTGACTTACGCTTCCTATAAGCACTGTGATAATTTTTACATAGCATTTCCAAGCCTGCAGCTACACTCTGACCATTTCCACACGGATGCATCTGCCCTCTTCTTGGTGGACCTGTTTTAACTATGTCCTAATGGCTACAAACTCCTTTTATGAATATCACATTTTTCATTCCCCTCAAAATTAGGTTTTTGAAAACCCCTGCACAAACACATCAGGGCGTATTTTCAAAGGGCTAGGAAAGTTCTTTGTAAAGATTTAGTTCAGTGAAAATGTCACTTCTGATGGACCAGATACTTGGAATAAAATGGACAACTCACATCACTGGCAATGTCCCTGGAGGCCTTGGCTGCCACGATCGGGATGGCGTCGCTTCGCAAGTCATAGCCTTTCTTCTTTGCCTCTTCGTTGGCGAGTTTATATAGACTCTAAATTTGGGCCAAAAAAAAAAAATCAGTTGGATGTTGACACTCATATCAAAAAACTGATGGAGGAATTGAAATAATTCACTATGTTCTACACAGGTAGGTGCGTATAACAGCATTACTTTTGAGAGATCTAAGCCTTCTGCATTTTTAGTTTTTGGTGACAATGAAGAGCTAGTTATATAAGCACTAAAATTATAGGTTGCACACCCCCATAATAAAATGACTTAAGATGGTGGCTAATCTATCTAAATTCTTTAAATTATATTTTGCAGAAGAGTAATATACTGTTGATTTACACTGTCAAAGAAACACCATTTTCTTTGCTGGCAGTACAAAGCTCAGCGAAATAACTAATATATTCTCAGATAGAATCTTAGAGCCACAAACATCTCCACAGGCTTAAACAAAGAGGTTCAATATAAGAAGAGATTGCAGAGAGATAAATGTCAATCTTTGAACTGAGATTTAAATTGCCAACCATGAACATGCAGGATAGAGGAAACCCAACCTAAGCCCACATAAGATGTCTTAGGGTTTCAGTTGATCCCAAATTCCCTGTGCAGGGCAGGGACACAGCTGCCAGCATGTCCTGAGGCACACGGTGCAGGGATGGAGGTCAAATGTCTAAAAGAGGAAATAAGGCATCAACTGTAGTCTACACTGATCATTCCTCACTTGCAGAATTTTGTTTGTTCTGAGAGTCATGTTCTAGGAGAGATGTCATGTGAGCAATGCCCAGGCACTTGGGATGTTTGGATTAGACGAGAACCTGGGGTGAGGTGGCAGGGGAGTCACCATAGTTGCTATTGGCCTCTCCATGAAGTTGGCACAGATTGGGTCTGCATAGCCTCAGAGGACTATGTGTGTCTGCAGAGAGAAATCTTTAAGTCAATGCATCAGAAGCACCTTCTAATGGAATTTTCCAGAACAAATGGGTTGACTTATGAGATAAACTTCTTGACAGTGAGAACACTTAAGCAAAAGCAGGATGACAACCCATCGGGCAGGGACTACTTACTAAGAGAGGCTAACCTCTCAGTCTAAATTATAGGTGCTTCTGTGATGGTACACGGCCCTATGCTCACAGAAGGTGAAAAGAAAATGGGCTTGCTAATATGTACCCTGCCAGGTCCTCTCTGCCTCTGTGTCTCTCTTTCTCTGTGTTATCTGGTACTACTACTGTGATTTTCGTCCTTGACTCAAAAATCTTAAATTTTGATCCTAAACTATAATTTAGGAAAAATATATTACATAGAGAAATATGATTAGCACAGCTATATAACACAAGGCTGAAATAAGTGTATATTTGGTCTATTGCTAATTGCATAACTTAAAAAAATTAATAAGAGAAAAAGGTCTAATTAATCTTATGGTTATTGCTTAAATCATTAGTTCTTATAATTTCTATTTCCTAAAATATAATCTGTGTTACTTGAAGTTTGATGTTTAGGAGGGTGACTGAAAAATGCAAGAGTTGCTATTCACATGGAGCAAAAAGAGATTCTTATAAAGTTGTCCTTTAGTGTTACATCCCAAGGAATAGATGAAGTAAGAAACAGCATGCAAATGTTACAGAATTAGCATCTGCTCCCACCTCACTGTAGTTGATTTTGTTCATTCTTGCCAATGTAATTTCTGGGGTGTCCGGCATGATGTGGATCTGGGTCTTGTCTTTGTCCCAGGCTTCTGTGTATAAACGCTATCAAAGAAAATACTTAATGTCATCAGGGGGAAAATTCAGTGTATAATTAGTAGGAATTTCAAGGCCACAAGAACTTTATAAACAAACATAACAAAAGGCTATGCATTTTTTACATTATGTATTTTATATACATTTCTCAAGTGAAGTAATCAGTTCATAGTAAAATAGTTATTTCTACTAATATGAAATATAATTTAACAAAAGGAAGTTGAGAGTATCTTTTATGCAAAGATGATTTCCATAAATATATGCCATTTTATTAAAAAAACCACAAAACAATTACTAAATATTAGAAATAACATTAGGTTGATATTATAGATAAATTGATGTCTTTTGTTGCTCAGTGCTCTCTTTCTTTCTTTACTTGACTATGCTTCTTTTTCTTTAATTCAGCTTTAGGAGTCCTACCTTGATTCCCTGAATTTTGAAGCCTTACCTTGTTCATGGTGATGGCATTATTCTTGGCCAACACTTGTTCCAGAGAATCAGTCACACTGGTAAATTTAAATTGGTCTGGATGCTGGCGATAGATTTTATCACTCAAAATTTCAGTTGCCTTTTTGCATTTCTCCACATCCAAAGAGCCAATGGGAACCCAGCCGATGCCTCTCATCCACTGAAGATCTGACTTGTACATATTCTGTTGACACAAATAGTCAGTAAACGTTTATCTTCATTGGGAAAAGTTTTCATCTAAAGGATATGAAATAAAGTAAGAGCATTCTTGAAAATATAGTTTGGTGGTCAGTCGGGTATCAGACAATATTTCTTTTTGGTTTGGAGGGTTAAATAATTAACACAAGGGAAAAAGAGATGCTAATTCCCCCCTTTGCAGGGGCTGGTGAATTTGGTGCCACCAATTGCTACCTTCTCCAAGGAGTGTGAGTTCACTGATTTCCCACCTTTGCATGTCATTATGATCCTCAGGTACTCACGTCGCTCTGGATTTCATAGGCCTGCCGAGCGTGGATGACGTCATTCTGGTCGGGCAGGCACGTCCACTGGTGCAGGTAGTTCTTGTAGTCCACGTCGCTGACCAAGGTCTGGCACTTCTTAGCCAGGACCACCCCCAGCATGTCCACGGGGCTGCTGTACCTGGTCTTCGACTTCTCAAAGTCCTTCTTGTACTCCCTGTCACTCTGGATCTTGGCCACATGCAAGGACCACATCATCTTGGGGTCGTCCTTGATGTCCCGGGCTCCAATGTGGTGGCCGAGCTGCTTACGATAGCCTTCCTTGTACTTGAACTAGAAGAAGAAAAATGCTGATAGTCACCTATTTTAACTTTAGTAAAAAGCAATTACTAAGGCCACATTTTTCTATTCTTTAAAAAGATAATGATTTGACCTAACTACATAAATATGCATCTTGTAAACCATTTGGAAAATATCGCATATATATGTATACAAAATTCAAATGAAAATGAAGACATTATTCTGCCATGCAGTGATAGCCACTGGAAAAAACTGCTTTTTGTGGTGTGCGTGTGAGAGAGAATAAGATTAAAATAGGAGTCATACTGTATATGGGTTTGTGCTTGCTTTTTCAATTATCATATAAGGATTTCTCTGCATCATTAAATATTCTCTATAAATATGAATTTTAATGGTAACAGATATTATACTGATATATATTAATACTTTTAACCCCTTTGTGATTATTGAACACTTATATTTGAGTTCTGATAGTACTTCCCATATTTTGGAAATAAAAAAATATTTTTGAGCAAATTTATGTTTTAAAGAAACATAAATATCCATAGCCAACCACTGCAGAGCCAAACATATGGTCCATATGAATGGTTGGACTTTGAATAAAATAATGTGTCCCATTCATTCAGCCCTTATATGTTCATTGGTTCATAGGGCATGGGTTAGGTATTGAAGAAATCCTACAATGAGTGTGGTTATATATAAGAATATATCATGTGGAAAAGCCAAAAGGATCTCTGAATTAGAGCCAAATACCCAGTGCTTTTATTAAGCAGGAAATAGATCATATTTTGAAATGCATGTTGCTATGAACTCAGACATAACAAGGAATTAGCCTTTGTGTCAAGAATTTCATTACCATTATTTTAAACTATTTACTGAGAAAAAAATGTTAGCAAGAAATTTAACCTCATAGATTAATTGCTCTACCATGTATTCAGGAAAAAGGAAGAAATCTTTAAGCCAAAGCTAAGGCAAAGAACTTTTCAGGTGCACTTACTTCACTTGCAATGTCTCTGGAGGCCTTGGCCGCCTTGATGGGAATAGCATCTAACCGCATATCATAGCCTTTCCTCTTGGCTTCTTCTAGGCCAAGTTTATATAGTTTCTAAAATAGAAATAAATAATCATAAGTTTGATTTATAAAGTGCAGTGTAAGGAGAATATATCATGCACCATAATTACTAGTATATTGCTTACCTCACTGTAATTTATTTTGTTTTGCTTAGCTAGTAAAACTTCAGGGGTGTCTGGCATAATGTGGATACTGGTTTTATCTTTATCCCAAGCTTCAGTATAGAGGCGCTAAAACAAACAAAAAGAAGACATGACTAGTGCAAACCAGTAATGAATAGATACATACAACTAATCTGGTTCATCAGAGTCCAGAGTCTGCTCTGTGAGCTGGTATCTGTGACACCTTCAGGTCCATATGTCTCCTGTCCGTAAAAGCATAACATTCACTTAAAAACCACTTTAATTCAGAGCAAAATAATTGAAAATGATTTTCCTTTTATAGAAACAGATTTCAGTGTTTACATTCACACACACACGTGTGAGCGCGTGCGCGCGTGCACACACACACACACACACACACACAGAATTAATACTCCTCCCAAGTAAAGAAAGAACTTACATGGTTCATGGTAATAGCATTGTTTTTTGCCAAAACCATCGGTATGGAGTCCATAAGGCTGGTAAACTTGAATTTATCTGGGTGTTGACGGTAAACATGTTCACTCAAAATCTGCATAGCTCTCTTGTTCTTCTCATCCTCAAGAGAACCACTAGGTAGCCAGCCAATGCCTTTTAGCCACTGAAGGTCGGCCTTGTACAAATTCTGAAATTTGTAATTGACAAATCACTAAACATAAGCATAATAATATACTCCTAAAATTATAGTATAGTATAATATACATTTCAATGCTTAAATTTATGGTAAATTAAAAAAAGTTGGTACGTCTTAAGAATCAACAAAATATTCAGATTTGAAACAATATTTTGAAAAACATTTTAAACAGCAGCATGCAGAGAAAGACCCAACGCTTCGGGGTCAGCAATGTAGAGGCTTCTACCAAAACAATTGGGGCTTTGCTGGCTCTTCCTTTGTGGAATAATATTTGGGTGCCTGGATAGAGTGTGGGCATTAGTCCAGGGAAGTAGAATTCAGTTGTATAAACTCAATTCCCCTCACTTTGGAGGAGCTTTGATACTTAGGAAAGCATATGTGGTGTTTCGTTAGCGAAGGAAAATCTTAGACTCACGTCACTCTGGAGGTCATAGGCCTGCCGAGCGTGGATGACGTCATTCTGGTCGGGCAGGCACGTCCACTGGTGCAGGTAGTTCTTGTAGTCCACGTCACTGACCAAGGTCTGGCACTTCTTGGCCAGGACCACCCCCAGCATGTCCACGGGGCTGCTGTACCTGGTCTTCGACTTCTCAAAGTCCTTCTTGTACTCCCTGTCACTCTGGATCTTGGCCACATGCATGGACCACATCATCTTGGGGTCGTCCTTAATGTTCCGGGCTCCAATGTGGTGGCCAAGCTGCTTGCGAAAGCCTTCCTTGTACTTGTACTAAAGGGAAAAAAATGTCTCCTCTTTTTAGAGATTAACTTATATTGCCACTTTTGTGGCAAATTACAAAGCACATTAACTCCAACTATTTCACTAAGCCTAAAGAGCCACAGATATACGCTCTTTTGATAGGAAAGATTAAAGGCTAAATCCAGCTCAAATTTCATGCATAATAAATGAATCCTTGAGCTTATCCTCATCCCACACTGCATCTCAAATCATTTCACTCTGTTTTAATTGATTACTCGTTGAAAGATTTTGTTCAATTTAAATTGAAGTTGAGACTGCTCGGAAATGATACATTGCAATCAAATCAATATAAATGGGATAAAGTCTTACTTCACTGGCAATCTCTCGGGATGCTTTTGCTGCTTTGACTGATATGGCATCAAGGGGCAGATCGTAGCCTTTTTTCTTCAGCTCCTCATAACCCATTCGATAGAGTTTCTGTCAAAAGATGAAGATCACTTTGGTAAATAAACAATGGAAGCCTAATGAATCCAATGTGCTAAGCCTTTTAAGAGTCCATGGGAATAGTATCTGTGCTCTAAAATACCCAAATGCAATGGGAAATTATGCCCATTGATTGCTATGATGCTGTTTTAAACTTCAAAGCTCTTCAATTACCTAGATCAACAAAATCAAATGTCAGCTCCTTTCAAATGCTTATGAGAATGAAGCAGAAGTAAAATGATAGAGAAATGAAATTAAATATCATTTAGGTGCTGTTTTCCAATTAACTTAAAGTGTTTTATTAGAAGTTTTTGTTAGAAAAGAGCAATAGTTGAGAATGTCATTTAATGCCTTTTCATGTAACACCTCTAGTGGGGGAAAAATTATGCCTAGTGAGTTGTCTCTTCTGTGTAGATAAAGCATTGGGATATAGCATCTATTTCACAGTATCAGTTCATCCAGCACCAGCGTAGGATTACATCTGTAGTATAAAACAAAGTCCTTTATAATTTTTAAAATGTAAGATTTTTTGAGGGAATTTTAAGTATTGAATCTGAAAAGCTTAAGTGAAATGATGCGTTTCTTCAGATCTGTTACATAATTGAAAATGTCATTTAATTCACTTTATCCAGAAACCAGATTGTTTAAAATGCCTATTGATCTTGGATTTGTGTTTATGTGTATATTAGAGGCCTCGTGCACTGATTCGTACACTGGTGGGGTCCCTCAGCCTGGCCTGCGGGGATCAGGCCGAAACCAGCTCTCCAACATCCCCCGAGGCGTCCTGGATTGCGAGAGGGCACAGGCCCGGCCGAGGGACCCCACCGGTGCACAAATCCATGAACCGGGCCTCTAGCATGCATATATGATCTTTGGTTAATCTCTTCCTGTCCTCCCCCTCCCTCCTTTCCTCTGAGATTCATCAGTCTGTTCCATGTTTCCATGCCTGTGGTTTCTGCTCCTGCATTGAGCATCTGCCCCCTGGTGGCCAGTGCGCATCATAGCTACTGGCCGGTCGGCAGGTCACTTAGCCTTTTATATATATAGACTAGAGGCCCAGTGCACGAAATTTGTGCACCCGGGGGGGGGTTGGTCCCTCTGCCCGGCCTGCACCCTCTCACAGTCCGGGGCTCTCACAGACTGCGGCTTCTGGGTCCTTACTGCCCTCCTGCAGCGGAGGCAGAAGAGGTTCCTGCCACCGCTGCTGTGCTCGCCAGCTGTGAGCCTGGCTTCTGGCTGAGCGCACTGACCACCAGGGGGAAGCTCCTGCGTTGAACGTCTGCCCCCTGGTGGTCAGTGTGCAAATAGTGACTGGTTGTTCCACCATTTGGTCGATTTGCATATTAGGGTTTTATTATATAG